TTTCCACGTATAGTCAGTACTTTTTGAATTTTGGGTTACATAAATGTACAGCTCGTTTAAAAATAAATAAAATTTCAAAAATCAACACTATCAAGACTAACTGCTTTTGACTTGATACAAGATTTGAGAAGTCACTCTTAAAGGTGTCAATTAGTGCTAAGGTAAAACTAGCATTAAAAATGTCATCTTGGGGGGGAGTGGGAGGGAGCAACAGTACAGCGAGTAGGGCACTGAACCCAAATTCAATCTCTAGCATCTCGTATGGTCCAACCGGAATGGTCAGAAGTAATTCCTGAGCACAGAGCCAGAAGTAAACCCTGAGCATCCCTGGGAGTGGCTCAAAACCCCAATTTCTTTTTTAATTTCGATTTTGTTGAATCTAGAAATATAGAATAGATACAGTACTTGGCTGACCTGGGTTCGATCCCCAGTAACCCCATATGACACAAGTGCAGGGCAAGGAATCCTAGTAAGTCCTACTACCTCCATCAGGAGTGCTCTGCTGTCCTCCTCCCACCTCCAAAACAAAAGGAAAAAATTTTTTTTCAGTCTAGAAGCAATGAAGATGGTTCAAAGGTCTGGAGCACATGCTTTACAAACCCAGAGTTCGACCCCCAGGATCACATGGTCGCCTGAACACCACAGTGAGTGACCACTCCTATCCCCCACCCCAAAGGCAGGATGTGTTTTTCATTCTACTTCGGCTGGGGGTGTGGCTCATAAGGCCTTGAGTTTGGTCATCTGCATCACCAAAAGTGACGCTATGGTCCCTGAACGCCAAACCGTCAGATCTGTGCCCCCAGGAGTAGCCCTGAGACCCCTCAACACTGCTGGGGACAGTGCCAAGAGAAAATAAGTTTGTCATACTCAGTCAAAATAGGGGCTTAGGAAAGGCCATGGAAATGGGAAGTTGACTGTAACTCAAGTGGGAAGATGAGAGAGAACTGTAAATTTTTTGTTTGGTTTTGGTTTGGGGCCACACCTGGAGGTGCTCAGGGCTTACTCCTAGCTCAGTGCTCAGGGATCACTCCTGGTAGGACTCAGAGGTCCATATGCAGTTCTGAGGACTAAACCCAGGTCAGCAATATGCAAGGCAAACGTACTACATGCTGTACTATCATGCTGACCCCACACTATAAATTATTAATACAAAACTTTGTTTTATATACTCTTAAGCAAGTAATTTCAATATTTATGTTACATTTTACTGTGTTCTTATTTGGGTTTTTTGGGGGTGTAGTTTGGTTTTTGTTTTGTTTTTTTGGGGAAATATCAAAATGTCAACCATTGTTTCTATTAAAGGTCTTTAATGATATTGCATTTGAGACCTGTAATGAAACACAGTGCTCACTGCAGTTTGTAATGCATCCCATTAAATACATTAATAACAAGCATTTCACTAAAAGGTCAACTTATTATGTCTGAAGTTTAGCTTTCCTTTAATCATTTCATTTAAAGCATTTCATTTAAAGCTACAGAACTAAAAAAAAAGTAAAAGTTTTTACTTTTTATTATTATTATTACAAAAATGCTGTCTCTCTCAATTCCCTTATCCATTCAAACCAGTTATGCTCATTAAGAAAATGTTGCTAATGTTTTTATGTGGGACAGTGGTATTATAATTTTTTTAAAAAATATTTTCTTTCAGAGATATCTGCTGAAAGAGTTAGAGATATAATGATAGGCTGTCAAATATTTGTTCAAAATAATTTAGAAATAGGGGGAGAGTTAATATAAATATAGATGAAATAAGATTAACTTTGAACTGGTCACTGTTTCATCACCTAGTTTATGACAGTGGCATATAGGGTTCAATGCTGTCCTCTTTACATTTATATAGTTTCAATATAGTCTATAAGGAAATGTTTTAAATAATCTATGTTGAGATTTCTGTAAGTAACTTGCTTTCTCCCTCATATATTATTATCACTAACATAAGAGGCCTACTTCCTAATGCTATAGAAAAGAACGCCAAAGCAGGTACTGGAGTTGGGACTTAATGGCAAGGCACACTGCTTGCATACGTGTAAGGTCCTAAGATTAATCCTTAGCTCTGTTTAAAAAAAAAAGAAAGAAAGAAAAGTCAGAGATAACAAAGTGAAAAAGAGATCAAAAACAACCAAATTTTATTTCCTGAAAAACAGAGTGTAAGGGGCTGGAGTGATAGCACAGTGGGTAGGGCGTTTGCCTTGCACATGGCCAACCCAGGTTCGATTCCCAGCACCCCATATGGTTCCCTGAGCATCGCCAGGAGTAATTCCTGAGTGCAAAGCCAGGAGTAAACCCTGAGCATCATCGCCAGGTGTGACCCAAAAAGGGAAAAAAAAAAAAAAAAGAGGGTAAGTGTGCTGACATACAAAGCATGCTGCTCAGAAGTTTACTGTAGCAAAAAAATAGCTGGAAGTATACCATTTAGTTAGGACTTAGGAGGCATGCCCAACGCCCAACACCCAGATCAGGTTCTTGCACCTGTACAGCCAACTAAACACCACCAAGGGGAGTCAGGCAGCCCCAGCACTGCTACAGAGGGTCTCCCCAAATAATAAACAAAAAACAATGCCAAGGGAGAAAAGAATGTTAAACACAGTATGAGAATAGGATGCTAAATGCAATGAAACTGACACAGATGAAAAGAAATCAAGGCAGGAGAACCCAGGGCACACATACAGCATCATCAAAGCCAGCGGGGAAATACTTCAAGGGAGGGCTGGACGCTTCAAGGAAGTGGCTGGGGTGAAGAGAAAATCTCTGGTAATCTTTCCATAGTCACTGAGGTAGAAGTTAAATTTTAAGTGTTACAATGTTACTAGGCCTGCTCCAGCAAATCAATGAACAACAGGAGGATAGTGCCGACAGTGCTACAGTGGAATGTAACACAACCCACCACTTTCCCTAGGAAGTGTTAAATTGCATAGGAAATTAGAATACTAATAAAAAGTTAAAAAGCGGGGCATGAACATTTGCCTTGCGTGGGGCTGACCCCGGTTTGATCCCCGCCATCCCATATGGTCCCCTGAGTCCAACAAGGAGTGATCCCTGAGCCCAGAGTCAGGAGTTAACCCTGAGAACTGCTGGGTATGGCCACAAAAAAAAAAAAAAAAAAAGATAAAGTCAGTAAGCATTGAATATAGTGTGGATGATGATTAGTTACACTGATGAACATCATTCACAAGGCTGAACATTGTCAAATGCCTCTTTTAGCAAAAAGTACTGACCCTGGCTGTATAAACTGTGCAACAGACACTGCACTAAAGCTTTACGGTGATTCTGTTTATTAATTCTCATAATCACGTGATCTCGATTTTTCTGTGAAGTTGAATTAATTCACTCAACTCATCAACTAATTCGTACAACTCATCCACAGCTTCAGTGAAATCTAAACCCAGGCAGCCTGGGTGGCTTTGTGCCCTATAATCCTGGCCATAAAAGTGATTTCCCACCTGCATCGCAGTCAGGTATGTATGAGTACCACCAAAAGAGGTGCAACCCCTGGCAAGCACCAAAACAAAACAGATGCATGAGACCCTGGCCAGGAAGTGCGACCTCTAGCAAGCACTTGTGTGAGCACTGAACTGCAGCAACCCCTAGTGAGCTCCACAGCTATAGCCTGTGTGCCTCGACTAAAAGTGCTCACCCTGGTGACAAGTGCACAAACAACTGCAACCCAACGAGTGCGAACCCCAAGGAGCACTGTAGTCAAATGTGAAGACCTCATCCCACCTTCCCACTGCCCATGAGCACCCACTAGAACAGAGCAAGCACCACAGCCCATTTTGTGTGTGGCACCGTTCATGTCATCTAGTATCAACAAACAGAGGGACAAAGAAAAGAGAGGGGAAGAAAAAATAAAATAAACCCAGATGGTCTGACTGCTAGAAGACCAAATTACAAAGTGACTTATTTCATTAAAGACAATTTAAGCCCCAGTACTTGTTCTGATCAGTACAGATTCAGTATGCACAGCACAGTAAAAATTATTCAGCCAGAACAAGGTAACAAAGAAACTTCCTAAGCTGTTTACCAAGATAGGGACATATACAATGCATTATGGTCTATTGTCATAAAGTTGGAAAGGAATCTCTCACATGTGCAGAAATATTTTTTTAATATATCACTGGGAGCGATAGTTGACCTGGGTTCAATTGACCTGGGTTCAAGTCCTGGCATCCTATATAGTCCCCTGAGCACCACCAAGAGTAATTTCTGAGTGCAGAGCCAGGAGTAATGCATGAGCATTCCTGGGAGTGACCCAAAAATCAAATAATAATAAATTAAAATTATATATAATTATCACTGGGAGGAGATTTTGAACCATACCTAGTGGTATTCAGGGGCCCTCCCCTCCTGGAAGAGCTAGCCTGGTGGTGCGTGTTTGGGGGCCTTCAGAGCTGTATCCAGTGATGCTTCAGGGACCATCTCAAGCACATGACACAAACAACTGAATGGCTATAGTCTGGGTATAGTCATCATTCTCCCACCCCCTGCCCTTTTGTTCTATTCCAGTATTCAAACAGTATTCTCTATACATTAAAGAAGTAATTCACAAAGAAGGGGGCAGGGAAGGGTAGAGAGGACGGGTGAAAAAAAGTTAATAATCATTATTCAAAAGCCCAATTCTGGGCCAGAGACAGTACAGAGGTTAAGGTGCTTTGCCTCGCATATGGCTGTGGCCATGAAACTGGTTCAACTCCTGGGCACCAAATACAGCCTCCTGGCACCACTATTGGTCTCCCAATCACTCATGGGCGTGGCCATGAGCACAAAGATAGGCGTGGCCTTTGAATACCCCGAGGTATGGCTCCAGTGACACCCCACCCCCCACCCCAAATCCATTTCAACCAGTTCTTTTCATCTGATAGGGACTTTTAGAAAAACTTTTTTACACCCTATTATCACTAAAATAAAATTTCTTCTTTAATTCTATAGGGCTGTATAGACCCTGCATAGACCAACGAACCCCAGTGATTCGAAGTATCCCAATAGAGCTTAAATATTCTTACTATTTTTTAGGGCGCTGGCAAATTCTGGGCCACCTTTGTCCTTGAAAACAGGGAAAACATCTGGTTGAGGAAGCTGATTGGTAGTTAACAGAGCTTTCTGTAGCTTGATCCTTCCTTCCAAAAGCTGGTCCCACAGTGCTGAGAAAGAAAGAAAGAAAAGAGACTTTCATTCCTCTGTAAGAAATCTGGGCCAGAGACAGAGGGAAGGTAAAAGAAATCATGCCAGTCCCTAAGTGGCATGGGGTCTTATCAGTTGCGTGTCATGGAAACACACAGGAAATAAATTCAGCATCTTGCAAGCAAATAATTGCTATATAAGAGAGAGATGAGAAAGAGAGAGAGAGAGAGAGAGAGAGAGAGAGAATGTTGGAGCCTAGAGAGGAAAAAATACTCTTCAACCTTCCAATTGCTCAAAGCACTAGAGCAGAAGCAGCTAAGAGCTTGGTGCAGAACAGCTGGCTCAGTGGCTAGAAGCGAGGCTTTAGGCTTCCAGGCAAGTGGGGCTCGTCACAAGCTAATTGGAAGGACACCAGAGAAAGCAAACAGCCAAAACCAAACGGACCGAAAGGAGATCCTGTGCAGACACTTGGGGAAAAACTTAGCAAACAGCAAATCCTATACAAACCTATCTGGTTCCTGACGGCTCTTCCCTTCTCCACCTCCTCAGACACATGAGCGCTGGAGAAGGTCATCACCACACCGTCATCTTCACTGTTCCTGGCATCAGCTTCGCCTTCCTCACTCTCAACCTCTTCATCGTCATTCCCTTCTTCCATGCCGCTCTCCTCCTCTTCATCTTCCTCTTCCTCTTCCTCATCCTCATCGCTACCAAGATCATCCATTCCCTCAGTAAATTTCTCAAAGTCACTGATATGTGGGGCCCTGAAGCTGGATCCTGTCCCGACAAGCTTTCCACTCTTCTTCCTGGGGGCGAGTTCGCTGTCCTCTTTCTCTTCCTCTTCCTCCTCCTCCTCCTCTGTGGCACTCCTGGCATCCTCATCAGATTCCTCCAGCCCCAGCTCCTCGGAATCTTCAGCTCCAGACCCTTCTGCATCAGATATTTCCTGGTCTAGACAGTAAGGGAAGATGGGAAAAGTGAATGTTACCTGAGACATGTATCAGGTCATATCTTTCATTGTAATGAAAGAACCAGCTAATTAGGGAGATGCTGGCGGGGGGGGGGGGGGGGGGGGGAGGGTGCACAGAAGAGAAGGATATGTGCTCAGGTTTTACTCCCAGTGTCCTCAGGGAAGACCCTATGTGGTGTAGAGTATTCAAACCACGTTGGCCACAGATAAGGCAAGTGCCTTACCTCCTATATCTCTGGTCTAGTATCTAATTTTTTTTAAGCATTGTTCTCAATTTAACAGATATTTATTATGTATCTAATATCTCTAAAATACTAAGGGTAGGGAGTCGGAGAGTTAGTACACTGGATAGGGTTTTTGCCCTGAATGCGACCGACCCAGGTTTGATTCCCAGTATCCCGTTTGGTCCTTTAAGCACTGCTAGGAGTAATTCCTGAGTGCAGATCCAGGAGCAACCTCTGAGCATGGCGAGGTATAGCCCAAAAACCAAAAACAAAAGAAGAAGGAAAGAAAGAAAAAAAATACTAAGGCAAAGCAATGATAAACAAAAACATGGGGTTTTACCCAAAGATTCTCGTGGGAAAGAGGTAAAACCATAGTAGAGTGGAGGGAGATGAGGGGACACGACTGGCGAGATAGATCAAAGGGCCAGTAGACATGTTTTGCTGGTCAGAGGCCCAAGTTGAACCCCCAGCACCATTTGGCCCCATAAACACTACTAGGAGCAACCACTGAGCACTAAACCAAGCGTACCCCCTGAGCAGCACGCGCACGCAAACACACGCGCACACGCACGCACGCACACACACACACACACACACACACAAAATTGAGCCCAAGCAAATAGAAAAATGAATAGGGCACTTGCCTTGCACTTGGCCAACCCAGGTTCAATGCCCAACATCCGATAACCCCATAAGCCCAGCCAGGAGTGAGTCAATGCTAACTCCTGAACACCACTGGGTGTCACCCAAAATCAAAGAAACAGAAAGATCACCAACTCACAATACAGGGGCCAGGAAATGGTAGGAGCACATGTTTTTAATGTGGGAGCCCCAGAGTCATCAATCCCTGGCACTACAAGGTCCCCTGGCTACCTCTAGGAATGGCCCCCAAACAAAACAAAAAAGCAAAAAGCAACCATAACACAAAGAAGTATTCAAATGTTGTCACAAAGTTTTGATAGCTCAGAGAAGAGTTAAATGTTAACTGTTGAGGGGCCAGAAAGATTTTACAGCAGGTAAGGCTCTTGCCTTGCAAATGGCAGGCCTGGGCTCTATTCCCAGCACCCCATGTGGTTGCCCAAGTCCAGCAAAGAGCGATCCCTGGCACAGCTGAGTATGACACAAAAACAAAAACAAAAAAGACAAAAATATTTTATGGGGCTAGAGATACAATACAATGGGTAGGGTGCTTATTTTGGATCTAATCTGGGTTTGATCCCCAGCACCCCGCATGGTCCTGAAACCCACCTGGAGTGATCCATGAGCACAGCTGAGTATGGCACAAAAACAAAATCAGAAACAAAAAATGAAGGAAAAAAAAAGACAAAAAAATTATGGGGCTACTTCTGGAAAACAGTATGGACGATTCTCAAAAAATTAGAAATTGAGCACACATTTGACCCAGCAATACCACTCCTGGGAATATATCCCAGAGAGGCAAAAATGTATAGTCGAAGTGACATCTGCACTTGTTTGTTCATTGCAGCACTCTTTACAATAGCCAGAAACTGGAAGAAACCTGAGTGCCCAAGAACAGATGACTGGTTAAAGAAACTTTGGTACATCTACACAATGGTACATCTACACAATCTATGTAGCTCTTAGAAAAGATGAAGTCATGAAATTTACATACAAGTGGTACAACATGGAAAGTATCATGCTAAGTGAAATGAGTCAGAAAGAGAGGGATAGACATAGAAAGATTGCATTCATCTGGGGGATATAAAGTAACAAAGTATGAGATTAATACCCAAGAATAGCTGAGATCAGCACCAGGAGGATTACTCCATAGCTTAGAGGCCAGCCGGGCATTCTAGGGGAAAGGGCAGCTCAGATAGAGAAGGGAGCACCAAATAAAGGGTGTTTGGAGGATCCTCCCAGGAGGGGAGATGCATGTCGAAAGTAGACTATGGACTGAACATGTTTGCCACTCAAGGCCTCTTTTGCAGACCACAACACCCAAAAGAAGAGAGAGAACACAAGGGATTGCCCTGCCACAGAGGCAGGGTGGGATGGGGGGGATGGGGGTTGGGGGAATATTATCCATGGTGGTGGAAAATGGGCACTGGTGGAGGGATGGGTATTTGATCATTGTATAATCGAAACCCAAGCACAAAAAATTATAAATCTACAACTGTACCTCATGGTGTTTCACTAATAATAAAAAAAAAAATATGGGGCTAGAGAAACAGTACAACAGGCAGGGCGCTTGCTCTGCACAAGGCTGACCTGGGTTTGATCCCATCACCCTACGTGGTCCTCTGAAACTCACCTGGAGTGATCCCTGAGTACTGAGTCAGAAGAAAGCCCTGAGCACCCCCCGTTATGACCCCAGAAAACCAAAGTTTTAAAAAGTTAACTGTGGAACAACAGAATTTTAGCAAGGCCTTAGAAGAATAGTAAGTTTTCATCTAGTGAGGGAATTACAGTGTCTCCAAGCAAGCATCTGATAAAAATAGTTTCAGATCCACCTACTGTACATGCACAATCTCTATCACATTTGTTTATCTCACTTATTAGATATTTATTAAGCACTTATGAGCCAAGCATAGATAAATGCTAAGGAATGCCATTTAAGAAATGTTAATACCTGTGGTAAAAAGGTAGATATGCATACAATAATGTCACTAGTATACCGTGTAGACAAAAGGTACCATCAAACTTGGAAAAGTAAAAAATGGCCTGATGAGGAGGAAACACTATATTTCAATTTTGGGGGTTTTATTTTGGAGCCACACCCGACAGTGCTCAGGAGCTATTCCCAGCTCTGGGCCTGGAAGACTATGCAGTGCTGGAGTTGGAACTCCAGGGCCACCCAGTGCAAAGCATGCATTGAGCCTGTGAGCTCTCACTCAAGCCCCATTGTTCTACTCTTTAAGCATAAGTAACTACTCATCAGAGAAGGAGGAAGGAAAAGAGTAAAAAACGGATCCAATGCCCAGCATCACAAAAATGAACAAGAGTGCAATGAACTATAAGTGACTGGGTCTAGAGAGTTATTCAGAGATCAATTCAGGAGGGGCCTTATTTTCCAAGGGAAGGAATTTGAACTTTATCCTACTGTAAGCAGAACGTTAAGACTGTATTTATTGTAAGATACCTATACAATTTTACTGATTATCCACAGTACTTAAAGGTTTCATGGACCAAAAAAAAAAAAGCACAGTTAGGGCTAAGAAGATATTACAGTGGGTAGGGCACTTGGCTTGCTGTCCACAAGGCTGACAAGATCAATCTCCAGCACCACATGAGCAATGTCAGGCATGATTCCAAAACACAGAGTCAGGAGTAAGTTGGTAGGACCACCAGGTGTGGCCCAAAATCAAATAAAGAAAAAAAGCATAATTATTAGATCAATAGAAATCAGTCATCAACAACATTTTCCAATAGATTTTTTGAAAATGTGATAGGTCTTCAGTAATTTTTTTTAAAAAAAACTGTATAAAGTCAAAACATAAAGAAGTCTGACAAAAATAAACATACAAAAATTAAAATGCAAAAGGGATTAAACACAAGGCTGGAGAGATAGTACAGTGGAAAGAAAGCTAGCTTGCAGGCAGCCAACCTGGGTTTGATCCCTGGTACCATGGACGGTGCCCTGAGTCCCAGAACAGTGATCACTTAGCCAGAGCCAAGACTAAATCCTAAGTACAGGAGGATGTGACCTAAAAACAAAAACAGGAGTGGAGGGAGGCAAACAAAAATATTCTCGTGAAGTTTTTCTTGTATGCATACTGCTTTCAGATTAAGAACATCCATGAGTCATGGGTGTAGCTCAAGGGTAGAGTATCTGCTTTACAGGTATGAGGCCCTGGGTTTGATCCCTAAAATGAAGGGAGGGAGGGAGGGAGGGAGGGAGGGAGGAAGGAAGGAAGGAAGGAAGGAAGGAGAGAGGGAGGGAGGGAGGGAAAAGGGAGGGGGGAAAAGAAAGAGATTTTTCAAAAAGGGAAAAAAGGAAAGAAACATTCATTTAAAAAGCAGTAGTTAAGATTATGATGGTGAAGTCAGTCTGCCTGATTTGAGTTCTGCTCTTTCGTACACGATCTTGAGCAAGTAACTTAGTTTGTCTCTCTATTTTCTCATTTGTAAAATGGGTATAAATAGTTATAACTTCAAGTGCTGCTGGGAGATTAAATAAGATGACACGTACAGTGATAATGGTGACAACAGTTTTGAGTACCTGTAAGTCTCAGTATTTTAGAACTCAAAAACCTTATTGCAAGGCCTGACACATGTGAGAGCTCAATAAATATTACATTTATGTCTTGACTGGCCTTTTTGGTAAAGAGTCTCTAGGTAGGACATATAAATGAGTTTATCAGGAAACCCTACAGCTTCATCAGTACTAAATCTCAGGTATCATAACCTGAATGATACTTATTTATATCACCTGTGTATTCACAATATGGTACCTCTGACCTCTCGGTGACAAAACTCATGGCACCACACAGTAAACACCAAATTCATTCCCTTCTATAGCAGCTTTAAAACTGCAACTCATGGGGCTGGAGCGATAGCACAGCGGGTAGGGCGTTTGCCTTGCACGCAGCCAACATGGCCGACACAGGTTCAATTCCCAGCACCCCATATGGTCCCCTGAGCACCGCCAGGAGCAATTCCTGAGTGCATGAGCCAGGAGTAACCCCTGAGCATCGCTGGGTGTGACCCAAAAAGAAAAAATAAATAAATAAAAATAAAACTGCAACTCACTAACTTTTACCAGGAAGTGGGAAGGACTGTTATTTTTATGATCAAAATAGGTTTCACAGCCTAGTATCATAGAGTGGCCCAATGCAAAGATTTGGAAAACTGAAGGAAAAGAGTCAAAAATCCAAAATCCAGTACCATCATGCTTTTCAGGTGCCATGCATTCTCCAACACATAGCCTCCTCCAATACCCAAAATGCACTACCTTTTCTTTCACTCTATTTTATGGTGACTCATTAATCTAAACCTAGGGAGTATGGCCACTTAGTCTCTAAGGGCTTTAGATTCCTTAGGAAGTGAAATTAAGTACCTCTAAAGCCCTTTCTAATGTCAAATCAATGATCTTGCCTAAGATAAGATAATAGGTGAGGATACACAGGCAGAGATCCAGCAGAGGTCATGGGGAGTGCATTTTAACCCAAAAAAGAGTAGGTTAGAGAGAGTACCCTGCAAAAAATTCTACTTACCAGAAGAACCAGGCAGGGTCTGGTCCCAATGGTCTTCCTTCCAAGCTTGCCTGGAGGTGGTCTTGCCAGAATACCTTTTGTCTGAGTCAAACAGGGAGGCCGAGGCCAGCTTTCTAATGCTGCCCACTGCTGGGACATCGGCTCCATCTTCCCCTTCATCAAATCTGTCAATCACTCTGGCAGCAGTGGCTGTGGGGGACAGGGCAGAGCAATCAGAGTCTCCAGGTTGGAAGGAACTTTCATGCTAACCCCAGCCAACACAGAGCTGAGTGTTTTTTCCCAAATCCCCAACTTCCACGAAGAGGAAACTCACTGTTCCAAGTCCCCCGCCCCCGTTCCCCTCCCCACACCCACCCTCCAGGCCGGCTGTCATCATCCTGATGCTCCAGTGCAGAAAGCTCTCTGGATCTATGAGCTGGAAAGATCTCAATGCTTTGGAACATATACAACGAGCCCGAGTCCCCGTCCATGTGTGACAACTCACTCACACATGGCAAATCGGCCGGTTCTGGCCTCACTCTGCCCCATCCCTCTGGGCACTTCCTGATCCTTTTTTCCTGGATAAATTCCTCCACCAGGAACGGGTTCCAGCCTTCACAGTTGTCCTTCCTTGGCCGTCCCCCGCCCCCACCCCCTGACCTTGCACATTAGCCTACAGAAATGCAAGTCTCAAGCATCAGCCCCTGAGCAAGTGCTCGGAAGCCTCGTGGCATTAAGTCGCCCGCACCACCGCCCCACGAAACCTCCTTCCTTCATTCTCCACGTAAGTTCTACGGGGCAGGCCGAGTTTTTTTGTTTTTTTTTTTATAAAAATAAACAAATAAACAAGCGGGTGAGACTTTCCTCTCTTCTCGTGGCTAACGCGACACCCCGAAAACTAACGCGACCCTGGAAACTAACTCCCAACCTGCTTTCTAAGCTCGGGTCCCCTGGACCGCGCGCACCCGAGCACCGGGTGGTCAAGAGCGCGGACGGGGCATCGCACCGCCTCCCGCCTCCCCCGCTCTCACCCCGGGAGCCAGATCTCCCCCGAGCCGGCGGAATGTTGGCCAGAGGCCCCACTGCCCAGCCCACCCACCCGTGCCGCCCAGCCGGTCTGGCCCAGGCCGGACCCAGCGCTCCGCACGTGGCCGTGCCCGCCCCGCTCCAGCCTCACCCTCCTCCGGGTCGGCCTCAGGATCGGCCTCGCGCGGTCGCGGGTTCAGCAACTGCTCCAGCTGCAGCGCCAGGGGCTGTGGCCCAGCCATCTTCACTGGGTCTCTCGCTCGGCGATGTGCGGCGCCGGGCGCGGCCGAGATGCTCTCTCGCCGCGAGACGGTGGCCCAGCGGCAGCGGCCGAGGCAGCAGCAGCGGCTGCAGCAGCAGGGACCGCGCGGAGCCGGGCGTCCTGCTCCCGGCGGGCAACTTCCGGGAGGAGCGCGGGAGGGGGCGTGGCCTGCGCGTCACTGCGGGCGTTGCTAGGACGCGGGCGGAAGCGCGCAGGAGGCCTCGGGCACGGCGCAGTCGGGACGCGTGTGCGCGTGCGCGTGTCTCGGAGCGGCGTGTAGGGCGGCGCGGGGGCGCGCTCGGGCACTTGCCCGCCGTGGGCGCCGAGCTGGTGCTATGACGCGCGCGGCTCCTCAAGATTCGTACCAGATTTGCTGAGAAATAAGTGTGGTTGTAGCCACGACTCTTGATGGTTGATTTAGGAAGGAGGGGGCAAAGCATCTGAAGCCGCAGGTGTATTTTAGGCCAGACACAGCTGGGGATCAAAAAGCAGGTTTGGCATTTAACTATCTGGGGCAGAAGCCTCTAAACCGGAAGCATCCAGGATTGGTAAATCTCTATACTAGAGAGGTGGATGTGTAAGTGTTCTGCGGACTGATGGAGTCTTTATTAATAGGAATAATTAGAAATAGCTGTATCTGTGCATAAAGGTTGATTCTGTGGCAGCGTCTCCAAGTAGCCTTGTCTGAAAGGGAGTGCAGTGAAGATTACTGCACACCCCTCAGTATTGATTTCCTTGCTTTTCAAAGATGAGGCATACTCAGACACTTGAAATTGGTGCACAAATGCAGAAGAACTAACTCAGGTCCACAAGGAACAAGGGCCGACTCAAAATATAAGAACTTAATGGGGTCCATTTAATTGCAATGGTCACATGGAAAGATAGATACAAAACCTTTTCATTCTCTTTCTCTCTCCAATCATTCTCTGCCCACCCACTCTGTGCTAGATAAAACATACAAAAATGAGTAAGTTAGATTTTCTCTGCTGATGGTGATTTGGGATGGAGGGCTGTGAGTGCATGGGCAGGCACCGATGTAAACAGAAATTGCAGTGAGAGATAATGGAGATGGTCTATTCTTCCAATGTCTATTTGAGGTCATCTGCAGAGATCTAGAACTCCTTTAACAGAAACTACCTCAAAAGGTCCAGACAAGGGGCTGAAGCAATAGCACAGCGGGTAGGGTGTTTGCCTTGCATGTGGCCAACCCGGATTCGGTTCCCAGCATCCCATATGGTCCTCTGAGCACCGCCAGGGTAATTCCTGAATGCAGAGCCAGGAATAACCCCTGTGCATCGCTGGGTTTAACCCCACCAAAAAAAAAAGTCTAGACAAGAGGTGCTTGGATATAGCCCAGGCAAACAGCTGAACAGTCTGATGAATCCTCAGCTACATAGCATCTCCTGTGGAACCTGAGATAAGTGAAGGGTCCCTGACTTTCACTAGTTTCCTTCATCTGAGGAACAATGAAAGACCACAACTTGAGTGTGGTTTGTCCCATGTCCCCTTCCTGGAGGGCTGCAGAAAAAAAGATGGCTTGATCCTCTCAGCCATGAAAGGGAAGAAAAGCCAAGAAATACCCCTCCTCCAAAATCTAGACAATGAAAATAAAACTGCTTCTTGTCACCCATTAGAGAATTCAGGCTAAGAAACAGCTTTTTAAAAAAATTGGTGAAGGGGGGCTGTGTAGTTGGAGAGATAGTACAGTGGACAGGATGCTTGCCTTGCACACAGTCAAGTTTAATCTGGTTTAATCTTGGGTTGACCACCCCATTTGGTCCTCCCAAGTACCACCATAGTGATCCCTGAACACAGAGTAAGCCCTGAGCACCACCAGATGTGGACCCCAAAATAAGAAAAAGGTAGGGGAACAAGAGATAAAATACAGTGAGTTAGTCACTTGCCTTGCATACGCAGACCAGGTTTTGATTCCCAGCACCCTTTATATATGGTTCCCCTGAGCACTGTCAGGAGTGACCCCTGAGTACAGAGCCAGGAATAAGCTCTGAGCACATCTGGGTGTGGCCCCAAAATCAAAGTCAAAATCAAAACTGACCAAATAAAAAAGAAACAAATACACGATATGTACTCTCTGATTGCAGTCAGGTCTGGGGCCTCTAGAGCAAAAAGCTGCAATAAAGGGCGACTCTAGCTGGGCTTCAGATGACGAAAATGTTTCTTTTACCCCACATGTAAAACAAATGCCTCTCTCAGTTCTTTTTTCGTCCTTTTCCCAGACACTAATAATGCTTAGAAGGCAGACCTTCCTTCTGGTACAGGAAAGGAAGAGAAGGAGAGGCAGGTAAAGCTAGTCAGAACACAGCTCTCAGTAACCAGGCCAAGAGTTGCTGCTGTATGAATGCTGAGCAGAGAATGCTGATACCTTTTTACCAGTGCTCGTTTTCTGTCTGCTCCCCGGAGCTTGCAAGGCGGGAATTATGACCATCAAACATCTCTCAAGACCCCCAAATCCTTTCTCTGCTTGCTTTCTGACCTGACTGAGGCGGGAGTTCCCTGAGTAGAGGAAGAAAGGAATTCTAGAATTTCAAATGCAATGATGAGGTGTTGAGGTATGAGGCAAGGAAACCACCTGGAAGGCACCAAAGAGCTTGGCAGCTTGCTTTTGAATTTCTGGAGGGAGTCCTTCCTGGGATCCGTTGATGATGGAGGGTGGACTAAGGGAAGAGGGATTTCAAAAACTCTACCTCCCTCAAGGAAATGTAAATCTGACTGCTTTGGGGCTGAGAGGAGATGAGCAGCAGCTCCCTTTAAGGACAGCTCTGCTCATACTCTGCACATCGCCTCACAGTTGCAAAGTAGTGGGCTGAGTTGGGATTTGCTTGAAGTGGTCAGGAAGGACTTGACAAACCCCTAACCTCTTTGTCTCAATCAACCCACTGTTAGCAGAAGCTAGAGTTTCTAAAAACCACGTTTCTACCTGACACTCTTTTTAGATCCCAGATCTCATCAAGTCCCAGATCCCAGGGCCCTGCCAATATCTATCGCTGTGACACTGAGAGGCCGGTGGACAGAGCTATAGCAGTGCCGATTTCAAGACCGGCTCCGAGACCAAGCAGCCAAGGGCAGACAGAGAGAAAATTACCCTGGAGAGGACCCCCGCTGGACACTCTCCTAGGTCCATGCAGGGCTGTGGGATGTATCAGCACTTCCCACACCTCAACACTGAAGGTGAGCATCCTCCCCATGGAGCTCAGCTGGGACCCTCTTTTTCATCCCCTCCAATATGACTAAGCTTTGCCACCTGTTCAGATATTTGTTAGGGTTTAGGATACAGCACCGAGGGGGAAGGACTTTGCTGCCAGCTCAAGTGAGAAAAGAATTGAGTCCACACCCAGCACCCAACTCTAAGGCGCTTATTAAGGACCCAGTTCCACAATAAAGCTGTTAAATTATTCAGCAGCCTTGATAGGAAAATGCAGCTTCCCAATGAGCACACGTTCAGTTAAATGAATCTCTTTAAAGGGGGGCAGGGGTGGGTGGCTATCACGAATAAGTTGACTCTGATTTAATAGATAAAAGCGCCAAAAGAGTGAAAGCAAGTCAGTCCAGTAATTGCATACAAAGCAGACAAATAAATGTGGTGCATGCAGAGGCCTGAAGTTCGGAAAGTCTCTGTATTTCATATACTTAGATTTCTGAAAGAATACCATCCGATTCCACTCTGATTCCCTTTGGAAAAACCATAGTGACATGGATGCAATGGAATATTGCTTATTTTTAACACCTCAGCAGAAAAGATACAGTTGGTTGTGTCTTTACAAGAGATAAAAACATCATGGAAATCACTTACCATTAATGTAAAGCCCTTGATTTTACAAATGGGGAAATAAATAATCCAGATTAAAATCTATGTGACACACAAAAAAAATTCTGGAACTCTAATACCGCCTGATATTAAACACACACACATGCACACACATTTCTTAATAGATAAAATATTTAAATTCCTTCCACGATTAAGAAAAGCTAGGAAGGGATTGTACTTTTCAGAACCTGTTGGCATCTGATTGATTGATCAACATTTGACTTCTATGTTGGTTATTTTTACTCATCTTTTAAAAGAGAAACATGTTATGTCTCCTGTGCCGGCAAAAATAGGCTTTCCTTCTGGCTGCAAATGTAACCATACAAAACAACCATTTCATATCAGTTCTGTGAAAGGGATAAAAGTAATACATTTCTTGCTGTACTGTGCCTTCATTTTACATTATCTTTCATACCACCAAATTAGAAATTGGGATTATCTGTGAGAACTGAATTGAAAGGAACAAGACACCATATCTAACTATATAGTTAGAGGTAACTGACATTCACAAGTCCAGTTTTGCATGTGCAGAGAAAGGGAGAGAATACATGAAATTTCATGCATAATCGTAGACGGGAGCCACTCGTTCTTAGCCATGGATTTGATTTCTATTTCAGTCTTATTAATTTAGTGGCAAACATCTCTTCAGGTGTATCGCTTAAATCCACATACTGCAAATCTACATGTAGTTCATAAAAAGGGGTGGGGGCGTGTGGGGGGAGGTGGGAAGTTGGTAGGCTTTAGCAAGCTGGGTTCAGCTAAAGTCCAGGTAGAGAGATAGCATAGCCCTACCTCTTTTCCTCCTGGTTTCAAAAGGGGGTAAACTTTAGTGTTAAAACATCAAATAACAAACCAGTTATCTAAACATCAGATTTTCTATTTTTATTAAAAACGCACAAATTGATTCAACATGTTTTCTTTCATACAGTGAATGGTCTAATATGCACTGGAGGTCACACAAGCTTAGGTTTATCAGAACAATAAAAGACATATGAGAAATTTAATATATAAAGAAAAAAGTAGCAGCTGTTGACTGCATATTTGACCATAAAATTTAAATATTTTGGACTTTTATTTTAAAGACATAAAAATAAAACCTGTGTGGATCTATATAAGTCATATTAACAATTCCATGACTGTTCAACAGGACTAAAAATTAGCAAAGATGTTTTTTTTAACCTTGTAACACTTTTTAAATTTTATTTTTTAACACTTTCTCAAGTTGTGGTGCCAGGCACCTTTACAGTATTTGTGCTATAATTATTCTATTTG